CCTCCCAAACCTCTTAATTTTAACAATAACTCTTATAAATTTGCGTATTTTTGTAACCCACAAAAATGTCCAATCCCTCCTTGAATGCTAAATTCTTAGCCTCAACATCATCTTGTGGCAGCAAGTCCCATAATTTGATTAGATGTTGTGTAACTGTGCCATCACCACTAAATGTGTTGGCTATCATTTTCAATGAATTTCTCCTTTTTCTGGCATTAAGAAACAGGGAGAATGGACACTTAATCTATCTATTACATACCAATGGTTATTTTATATGTTTTTATTACTTCCTTGCTTAGGTTGACTGTGCTGCTCTTTTTTATATGAGAGTTTTTCCATGACTTTTATTGTTGTCACCCTTCTCTGGAATTCTGCTGTTTCCTGTGTGAGATGGGATGAGTGGTACCAGTCACTCGCTTAATGTTAATGGTGTGTATTTTACTATTGTATTATTGGAGTATTATAGCATTTTTGTATTACCTGATTCTCTTGTAACTCCTAATATCTTGTTGGAGTGCAGCTGTTGTTTGAACTCTTTGTTGAGCAATAAATCCCTTTCCTTTGTTGATAAAGCTAATTTAGATTTTGGCAAGGCAGGAGCAATTACATTTTCCTTCCATAGATAAATTAAGTGTTGACATTTTTTGATATAATCTGTCATTGTAAGATATCTATTTGCTTTGCTTGGGTAGTTCTGGCTTGCTTAAGTCTATCATAAGCTGTGTGTAGATGAAATGGGGGCCCTAAATTGAAGCGGTGTTTTTAAAAACACCACTTCAATTTAGGGCCAAGTAAACCCCCATACCGTGAGCACACCTAATTTATCTGCCCCTTGGGTGGCAGGGAGGGGAAACCAAGCTGCCGGTGGGTGGAGCAGTTCCTGGGAAACGAGGGCTGGTGCTTCCCTCCATGGCAGCGGTGGTCCCCCCTCAAGTGGTACCCGCCTGCAAGCACCCAGCTGTGGAGGGAAGCACTGCGCCCCTGTACAGCTCAGGCAGGCAGGCAGGCTCCAGGGCAGGGGGGTGGGAAAAAAAAGAAGATCAGGTTTGCTGCTTTTCTTGGGCGGAGCCTGCCTTCCCAGGCTGCTGCCAGGCTTTCTGCAGAGTCAGGGAGCTGCACGGAGCCTGGTGCTTTGTTTATCGGCTGTAGGGGCAGCAAAATAAAACTCCTCGAAGGAGTTTTAATTTGCTGCACCCCAAGTCATTTAAGGTGCATTGCACCCCTAAATTTCCTACAGTGGCTGGAATTAATGCGCAATACTCTGCCAAGGCATGCAAACTCTGACTCTATTAAAGTGGTGCAAAAGCATTTAGCCCACTTTAAAGTGTTGTGCACACACAGGCCTTGTTTCATCTACACCTGGCCATAGTCTTCTTTTGACTTGACTAATCTAAATCAACTTGTTATATATCACTTTTGTCATCTTCCAGCTCTCCCATTTTTCAGGTGGTTAATAAATATAGTAAACAGTAGTCCTAACACAAAACTTTGAATTGTTCTCACCCTTTGGCCATTGTGAAACCTACTTTGGTTTTTTGCCACTTAGCCAGACATTGTAGTTTCAAAATGTATTTAGAATGATTTAGGTTATAATTCAAAATGTCAAAATATTTGTAAAGTTAACAGCCATACATAGTAGAAAGGCACAACAATTTTGCCATTACTGAGAACAGCATTTTTGCTAAAATCCCATTACAGAGCCTTGTGGGTTTTGATTATTTGCTTGATTTCCTGTGCTGCAGATGTAATGCCTTTTTTGGAGAAGTCTTCTATATTCTGAAAAACTTCCAAGGGGTTTCATCATGAAATCCACTTTACCACTCAGCTTGTAACCAGATGACATGTGAAAAGAGTTTCCTGTATTTCTGAAAGTTTGGTCGAAAGTGAATAAGTGAGTGCCAGCATGATCCCACTGCAAACAATGTACTTCTAGTTTCCTAGCTACAGAGTTTATGTTGGAACATTTGCTGTGATGAGTTTGTAGGAGATCATGGTTACTAGGGACTCTGAGGTGTAGTCAAGCTTAAGCACATCAAAGCTTCATCAGCTGGTGCACCTTGCTTGCTGGTATAGCCCAATGACATACTCATAAGAAATATGTAGTTTTCTTACCTTTCTAAAAATAATACTCAGCACTGATACAAACATAGTGAGACTTGAGTGAAGGATCTCAAAGTTCTTTTCTTTAACTTGAGAATACCCCTGTGAGCAGAAGGTATATAGGCAGTGTGGTCTTCAGCTGCCAGGTAGGAAAAAGGAGGCGTATAGATGTAGTTATGTTAGAACTGGGAAAACAACACAGGAGAACTGATTAACAGTCCTTTTAGCAGACAAAACTCAGACAGTTTTAAAATTGAACATAGAATATTTTTCCCTGTGTGAAGATTCCCCTGTTGTGTCCTTGGGATAAAGACACACAGGAGCAGTTGGCTAATTTTCCTTGTCCTTGCATCGTCACTTATCCCTGCTGTAGCTCATGGAGTTTGACTTTGCAATTCCACTTAAGCTCTGTATTGGTGAACTGGTTGGGTGGCTGGGGGAAGGATTCTGACTGCTTTGTCAAGCCAGAACATTCAGGAAGCACTAAGCAAATGTTTCCTAGACAACTGTTTTCTTCTTCCAGTAAATTTCAGACATGTTATTCTTCTGTAATTCTTTTTATTAGTTGTCATCCTTTGACATGATGAATACTTACAGCAGTATGTTAAAAAAGATACAGTTAAGTCTCTTGTTTAATTCTTGGCATCACTGCATAGCAGTCACAGCATTTTCACACAACCTATTGCTTCCTTTCAATTTGATGCATATGACATATATATATACACACACAGACTGAATCTTGGTCCCATTGAAGTCAATGGACTTTGATTTTAATGGGAGCAGGATTTAGCCTGTATAGATGGATAAGGTGGGGTGTGTGCATACAGTGTGTTTTACAATAAACATGACATTTCTATACAGTTTGTGTTCAATGATTAAAAGAATATATTTTACATCCAAGTCAAACTTTCTATGCTCTGCATTTAAAGTTTGTGTACCTAAAATATAGGACGGGTCATAGTGACAATGATTTTGGTATCAGAGGGAAAATAAAACAATTAAATATTCTTACACTATAAGTTGCCCCAAAGTTTTGTAATAGCATTATCTGTTGCTTCCAGATTTAATCTTATACAGTAAAATATACACAAGACTAATATTTATGCATATTTACTAACGAATTACAAGTACTGATTTTCTGTGACCCAAGTCAGGGGGAGAGGAGAAGGTTGCATTCACGTCTATCAGTTTGAGTGACCCAGACTGAATATCACTAGGGAATAAATTGTAGTTGGTACATGGACTGACCAGCCTAACGACAACTAGCATTGCCACAGTTTGTGCGTGGTGTTCAACCATGATTAGGAGGAGTGCTTTTCTGGGGCTTTCCCCACCTTGGCCTTGGTTGTAGATTTGACTGAAGACTAAATGAGTCAATGGGAAGTACAGTGTGACAGATGATCTGTTCAATTAAGTGTATGACCAATGATGTAAATGGAATTTCTCGCTTACTGTAGAGACATAAATAGATTTAAATAATTCACTACAGATTAAAAACAAGCATTGGAATTAGATGCAGGGAAAAGAGTTATTGGGTCATCTATTTTAAAATACCAGGAATTCCCTTTTTTGGTGGTTTGAACCTTGACTCAGCAATTATTTGGGGTAATTTTGTTTTAGGAATGATGTATGGTACACATCTGGGTTGCTTAATCCATCTGGCAATCTCTTTTCGTAGTGTGTTGAAGAGGCAGCTAACCAATCTTGTGTCTTATGGGTTTGGGAGCCTGGAGCCACAGCCTTTTTAATGTTGATTTGTAGGCTGCCACTTTTATCCAAAACCCTATTTATACAAGTTATTGAAGGGTCCCATAATCTAGGTTAGGTCAATAGAAATCCAATTCAGTCATGTCCTTGCTTTATTCTAGTGGTGATGTGGAATTTTATCCCAGGCTCTTCCTTCAGTTGTGATGCACACAGTAAGCTGTGTTTCTTTTTAGCTTCTGAGCACTTTGCTTTTGGATCCAGTGGGTGCTGCCTGCAAGCTGAGGCAGCACCCACTCAGCTAGCACCCCACCTGGGCAGCCCCTGGGGGTGCTGCCACCACAGATGGAAGGACCGGGCCCCCTTGCAGCTCAGGGGCTACTCAGCACAGCAGCAACTTGTGCAGGCAGGCTGCACTGAGAGACAAAAAAAAAGCAGGGAGCCTGATCCTTTTTTTTTTTTTCTTCCTGTGGAGCTTGGCTGCCTCTCCCACAGCCAAGGGGTGAGCTGCTGGCAGGCCCTGAGCTATGGGGAGGCCTGGACCTTTCCTTCACGGCAATGGTGCTCCCTGGGGCCACTCGGGCAGGCAACAAGTGGGTAGGTGCTGCCCCAGCTTGGTGGCAGCACCCAGTCTGATCCAACTGTTCCCTGAGCCCAAGCTGGGGCAGCATCTGCCTGCTAGCAGCCCGACCAGGTGGTCCCAGGGGGTGCAGCTGCCACAGAAGGAAGGACCGGGGTCACTGCAGCTCAGGGGCCATTCAGTCCACTGGCAGCTCGCTCCCCAGCTGCAGGAGACATGGGTAGTCTCCGCCAAAAAAAAAAAAAAAGGATCGGCCCCCTCGCCACCTCTACCTTCAGTCCACCTCTCCTGCAGCTGCAGGCGGGGAGGGGATAGGGGCTGCCAGCTGTCAAAGGCTGTAACGTTACAAATAGCTATGTTGCAAATTAAACTACATGAGGATGTGGTTTAGTTTGTAATGTAGGAAACTCATTTAAATCATAAGGAACCCCCGCACATGTACAGTGTGACGCAATTAAACCGCAAAAATGGCCATATTTTATCACGTGTACAAGTACCCTTGGCTGCTGCTCTTAACTGGCCTACTTTTCACACATTTATTTTGTCCACATTATAAAGAAAAAAGCCTTTGGCTACAAATAGTGCTCTGCTATGTTCCTTATCTCCTTGCTCTCCCGCACTCCAGGTCATGAGTTGTTTTTTTTATTACCCTCCTTTTTCTCTTTGGTGACCTGCATGTTGCTTCTGTGCTGCTCTTTAGAGCTTCCATGCCACAAAACTACAAGCCTTCTGTGCCTTCCAGAATCAAGGCATAATACTCTAATTAAACTATAATTTCTTTGCTTTAATTAGTTTTTAATTACAGAAGTCACATCCAAGGCTATATATAATCTTTCCCTTAAACAAGTATGGGGTTTAACCAAGACAAGTAGTAAATTTTTGTGTAGTGTAATTGAGAGTGCTTCAGCCTCTGGCAAGTGTTTTGTACTCCTGTCAGTACATGCATCTAAAAACCAAACAAAGCCAGAAAACTCTTTAATGTGTTGCTGTGCAGACCAAACAGACCCTCCTTTAAATGAAGCATGAATTCATTCACATAGGTCTCTTATAAAGTGTCAAATGTGGCTAATAGGACAAAAGTCCATTCTGTGCAAATGTTTATCTTTTTACTACATCTCTATTCTGTTGCCCCATTCTCATGCTGGCCGTTTCTATGCTCTACAGCAGACCAGAGGCATAACCGGACAGTTCTGTACCCTGGGTGGCAACCGTGCATGGGGCAGCAGCTGCAGCCAGATTGCCTCCCACCTTTAAATCAACACCTGGGGCCTAATACACCAGTTGCTCCACCTTAGTTATGCTACTGAACCAAACACCAGGTAAAATATTTATCACAATAGTATATATTTAATTGCTGGTGGTATTGTTCATAAAGTGCAGTCTGGCTTCTTCATGGGAAAACTATTGGTGGAACTTGCCCAGAAATCCCACTTTATAGCACAGAGCCCAGTCATTTGGGCTGGCAGGTATTTGCTGCCAAGGGCTTGCTTCATAGCTTCCTCCATTGAAGTGAACCTTAGGGAGCACCTGAGGCAAACTGCTTAGCCTGTAACTGATTTATGCCACAAAGTCAGCCTGAATTTCTTTCACTAGCAAGAGTAGTTATATTGCAGCCAGGCAGGTATGTGTACTTCATTTTCATGCAAAAATAAAAAAAGGCCCACCCCCATTTTCATAAGAGCAACCTTTCTAGTTAGGGACTTTAACCTGAAAAGGGCTGACTTGAGTAACAGGTCCATGCACTAGTAACAAAAAAGCCAGGTTGACATCTCAGCATAACTAAGAGCATACAAAGTTCTTTCACTGGGTTTGAAGAACTGACACAATTATTAGACAGTTTGTACTAGAGCTATTGGGGTACAGTAATGAATAGGCTTGTTTCTAAACCACAGAACATTTTTTTAGTTCTTCCAACTAAATGGAAAAGAGTTGAAGATGACTACTGAAAATAAGCACCCCAAAAGGGGAAAGAGACATTTTCTTTCTTTCCTAACTTCTCTAGACATTTGAAAACCTGCCAGTGTGCTAACATGTGACATCCTCTATGGGCTGCATACTGTGACTAACAGGTACTGCCTTGCTCTAAACTTCTGGAATACTGAGAGGAAAAGTAAGATGCAGCAGTAGAGACTAACTTGGACACTAGAAAGGACCTTGTTTCTGCACCACCCGAGATGGTACAGTTGAAAATGCAAGTGTTTTGGAAACGAAGGTAACTTTGACCTACTCCTTAGGTTTACTACTCCCTTACTTGTCAGGAGAAACTGTTAGCAAGATTAAATGGTGAGCTCTAGTGAGGTATGTGTCCTAGTTGGAAGAAACAAGAACATTCTCATTTGTCCATACTTTGCTGACATAAATCTACACAATGATAGGAGAAAGCTAGCTGGCCTAATACGCTTCACACTTCCACACACCTGAATTTCATCTTTCTACTTTGTGTTTCAGTCACTTTTTCTGTTGATTGATTTTGTATGTATATTACTAATGTGTCTTTTACTGGATTTCTTATTAATGTGAACCTTTTTTATCTAAACACTTTAAAATAATTGTTACCTTGCACTTTTACTTGAAAGTAAACTCATCTTTCTTGAACATTTCTTATAAATTTAACCCTTATCTACGTTGGCTTAAGTTGTTTGCCTGCCATAGCAATCACATCATGTAATACAAGTGTATAACAATTAGAGCTAGTTCAGTTATAAACAAAAACATTGTTAGAAGTGGTAAAATAGTAATGTAATAGCATTGCACTTGCTATCAGAAAAACACACATGAAAAGAAAACCAAACATGTTACTCACATGATTACTCACACACCCCAGGTAGAGGTCTTATCTGAAAGGAGGAGGTTAAAGAAAGGAATTGAAAGAATGCCCCAACAAAGGTGGTTCATGGAGTGGACTATTGTGTATCTTTCAAAAACCCTGTAAGCTAAAACCTTAACTGTAATTAGCATTAGTTATGAGGGAGAAGGATCTTGCTTACTAGATTGGCTACAAAGCATTTTCCTTCATTAAGTGAAATTTATAAAAGCCAGGTAAAGCATTTCTTTCATGAAAAGGAAACAAGAACCATACCTACATGCTGGTCACCTAACGAAAGATTAAAAAATCAGTACAATACAAGATGAAATGATAGTTTGGCACCATTTGAGAAAACAATTATACTCCAGAACTGCCAAGATATCTGGCAGTTGGATGAACCTCAGTTGGATGTTTTTGATTTTGTAGACCACTCTGCTACTTAGTTAGAATCCATGGGTCCATGGTTTACCAGTTTGAATTGTAAAATAGATTGTGTAATATTGCTGTGTTTTAAAACATCAGAACTTCAGGCTTTGTGAAGCATCTTCTAGAAGTGTGCACTGTGCCATGGATTAAACGGTATGGGTCCGTATGGAATGCATGTGAAGTTTCCAAAAAATGCCCTGCCAGACTTCGTTCTGCTGGGCAGCTGAAAATGTAAAGGCAGTTCAGAATCATATATATGGTGATATGATTTTGGCAGCTATCAGAAGATGAAAGATGCTAAAAGTTAAGGCCTTTATCTGCAAACAATAGTGTATTAATAAATTCTATATCATATTTACAAATGCTTTCTCTTGTATTAAAACTAATAGTATTCTGTTCACAGTGCCATTGTTTATACAGGTAGCAATCCCATAATACTTCAGTATTTTGGCATGGGAATCAGTAGCGCTTTATATTTACAGAAAATGTACACGTGTGAATATAAACATATAATTGAAACAGAGTCATCAAAAAGGTCTGATTATGTTGCAAAGTTTTAGACTGTACAACACCTTCCCTTTGACTTGCTAGGGAATGCTGTTCCTTGCAGGGAGAAGATGTCACTCTACCTAAAGTGGCATAAAAATGACTTAAAAAATGAATCTTGTCATGCTTGAGTTTTGTGTACATAGAGCAACCTCGGTCCAAAGGTTTTGGATTTGTTGTCTGGTGCACAGAATACAAAAGTTAAAAAGGGGTTTTTTTGAATTATTAAAATAACAAGATTTTTCTCTCCTGTGTGCACTCATACTTGACCGATATTCTCAGAGTTCTGAAGATGCTGGTGGTTTAATGTGCAGCCCAGCTGCCAGACTGGAAACTGTATGGTGCTCCAGGCCTACATACAGGTATGTGTCACACTATGACCCATGGTGAATGAAATACGGCCAAGACCGTTTCTTTTCTCTCTCATGTTTTCTCTGTAATCCTCCCGTGTTACTTGGTAGCCATTTACTGGCTCAGCTTCTCATTCAAGCAGTTAATGATCAGAAGTGATGAATGGCTTCAGAAATATTTAGAAATAGGAGGAGGAGGGTGGGGAAGTCAAAGGAGCTCAAAAACCAAACCCAGCATTCAAGTGGGTTTATTTACGAGGACCCTTCCAGCTTCTGCTTCCCCTGTCGTTCCCTTTCCATGCTGTTGTTGATGGCCTCATGGTCCTTGCGGTTTTGTTCACTGTTGTGACCAGCGAGGAAGAGACAGCAGTACTATAAGGAAGAGTGCAAAGCTGGCACTATGGGGTGTCCCCTTCATTTAAAGTCTGGTCCTCATTTTCAGTCACTTGACCTGAGTGGTCATTACTCCTGCTACTGCTGTGTTGCTTGTGGAGCAAACTCCTCCAATTGGCCTTGTTCCTCCTGAGATGGCTTAGCATGTTTTCAGAGAGGGGAGTGTCTCCAGTAAACTGGGCCCATTTTTCAAAGAGTGGCTCTACGATGTAGGACATGAAGCCTGGGAAAACATGAAGCAAAGCATGTCAGGAGCTGAATCATTAACCAAATCAATGTCCAGCAGCACGGGTCAGGAGACTGGAAGTGACTAAGGTCTCAGAACCCCAAAGAGAAATAACAATAAACCCATTTCCCCTAACCAGTAGATTGTGTAATATGCACCCACTTGAACCACTGCTTATGTTAAAAGGTAACCAGCTTTTGCCACATATAATATAGTGAAATCTAAAACACAAGCTCAACCCTTAGGCAACCTCCTGTCCTGTAATATCCCTGAATAATCCTGGTTCTTTGGATGAATCTGGTATCTTTTATTAGACCAACTTAAATAGTTGGGGAAAAAAAATTAAGCAAGCTTTCAGATTCTTTTGGGTTTTGAACCCGAAAGCTTGCTTAACATTTTTTTTCCAACTATTTAAGTTGGTCTAATAAAAGATATCAGATTCACCCAAAGAACCATGTCTGCCTGTGTCCTTAGACCAACACGGCTACAACCTACACCCCTGAATAATCCTAGCACTTCCTCTGTACCATTTTTCTCTAGCTAAGTGTTAGAAGGCATCTTTCTTAAGCAGCTGACTTTTGTCTTTCCCTTGAATAGTTGTGTTAGACAGGCTTCTCTTTGGGCATTTGTTTTGTATGTCATGATTCTTGGTTCTGAGCTGCATGTTAGAAAATCTCTGACCCAGAAACAAAACCTGTTGGATTATTTATCTGCACCTATTATTTGGAAATGGCTACAGCACAACTAAGGTGGCATGTTTTAGTTTTAGTGCTGTTTACAATCAGGGGGTGCAGGTTCGTGTTATGTGTAGTGGAGAAAAGATTACTGAGAGTGTAGGCTGATGTATCATTTGAGATGTTTCAAAGGGCTTTGGAACCCCTTTGAAGTATTTCAGAAGGCTACCACACAGACACACTGGTGGGATAAACCACTCCCATCTGTGACAGAATAGTACCTGCAGGGAGCTGGTATTATTTTGTACTGTTTTGTTCTATTGTACATTTGTGCAGGTGGTTGGTCCTCCAGAATCCCAAGATGCAATGTCCACTTACCCTCACCCCAGCACCCTGACTGTATTTGCCCATCTCTTTTTCCTCTCCCTGTACTCCATGCACTTGGGCTGCTCCTTGAAGCTCTAATACTTGGGACACTGCTACTCCCTGCCCTCTGGCCCCAGGAGTCCCAGTGACCAGGGTGTTTCAAGTGCCAGGAGGCCTGGGCTTTGAAGCAGAGGAAGCACCCTGACTCCCAAAAGTCCCAACCTAGAGAGCAGCAGTGCCCTTGAAAAAGCAGGGCCACAGCTGCAGTGCCCCTGTGGTATACCCTGGTTCCAACTGGGAGGTGTAAGGGGCTGTACGTGTGTCCTGGAGCTGACGTGCTATGTTTTTTAGCACAAAATATTTCAAATGGTCCATCTGTTTCCACCCTGAATGCCCTGTTTGTGTATGGCAGCACAGAGACTAGGATAGCGGTCTAAAGCTGTATGGTGGCTTTTCATTCCACACAGGGAAAATGATCAAGTGCTTCTAAATATTGGGAGGGTATTGTTCTGCTAGCCTGTGAGCAGGGAGAAAGGAGTTTGCAAATCACACATGGATAGTGAATATTTGACTACATCTGTAACTGAGGAAGGTTTGATATAATCTTAGATGATCAAAAATCATTTTAATGGAAGCAAAAATTGAGACAGTGATTCAAGGCTGTGATTTAATTTGATCCTAAAAGCGGGCAGCAGAAACAATGCCTTTTAGTTCTGCTTTTGGATCTTCCTGAAACAAGCTACTGCACCCATTTCTAAATAATGCAGTAGAGCAAATGCTCACAGATATGCACCGCTGGCTGGAAAACCTGCTGCAGATGAAAAAAATCTCACAAATAAGTGAACCAAAGCAATGCCAGGATAAGCATGGTTTGTTCATCAGACAAGTGTTTTACAAAGCATAACAGAACACTGACTGCTAGACAAAGAAGTATTACACACAACTAAGCAAGTTTTAATGTTTAATCAGACCTCAATACAACACTGCTATTCAATCCTGGCTGAGAATAATGGCACAGCAAACAGACTGTGTGAATTAGCACTGATTAACAAGGTTGTGTCTCATTTTAAATAAACATATGAATACACATTTAATATATATGCATTTTCACAGAGGATGTTATATTTTGGAAAAATTATATCTAATCCAATAAACAACATATATGTATTTGTGCATGTAAATATACTTTTAAAGTCCTTGTCTTCTTTATACATTTCTGTTTATGCCAGATGGATATTTATTTGTCGATGGACTAAGACAAACCAGGATAGCTAGCATCCAATAACCTGAAAGAGCTTCTGAACCTAGTTATTCATCACAAAATACCTATGAAGGATTATGCTAATTCCTGCTTTCCAGATAAAGAAATTGAGGCTATCCGAGGTCAGAGATGGAACGTCATAGCCAGAATTAGATTTTAAGGCAGCTTGATACCCCCTGTCTGCTCTTACTGTCTGCTGGTGGTGCTGATGAGTACTGCCTCTCACACATGCCACGGTACAACTACCCTAAACAACAGGTGCAGTGAAGCAATCTTTTGGATGAACAAATCTAGATGCCTGAGTGTGCTACCTCTTGCACAATCCTAACCTTACTAGGGATCTGGACGTATATCATTTACCTTGGTATAAACAAAGTTTGGACGCACACCATATGAATTTATACTAGTTTACCAGGATTCAGTGAAGAGATCTGGAAAAATCAGAAGTAAAACTACATCACTGTGAGTTTCACTGATATAGGTGTCAGGTAGCTGCTTCTCACCCAGGACAGGCTAAATATAAACAGGCTATTACAGGTGCCTCTGCCACCTAGTGGCAAGGTATGGTAATGGTGCCTATTCCAGCAACTATCCTGAGAGCTGACTCTCTGTCCACTCCAAACACTGGTATAACACACATTGGTTTCTGGTATAACATATTGGTTTCTGTACACTGATATAAATTATGAGTCTGGTAAGTATCACATATCTAGACCATAAGGAAATGACTTCTGATATGTAAATTGGGAAAGGTCTGGTATTTACATCACTGTCACATGGCAACACTTGCTAGGAATGGTGATGCTATATGGTCTGAACAGTCTTCTGGCCGTGTGAAGAGATGAAGGTCTCATGATTTGCTGGTTTTACCTTCCTTACGGTATGTCTACATAGCAACCTCAGGCACATGGAGATAGATCGGAGCTAGCTAGCTAGCTGACCCTGTAGCTTCAGTGGCTGGGAGCTCAGGGTGGGCTGAAGACTTGTGTGGCTAGCTTAAACAGAGCTCCATGTTGTCATGGCTGCACTACTGTCAGTACCTGAGCTAAGTAATGTAAAACTGTCACACATATGTCTATGTGAACTGCAGTCATTGTAGTGCAGGCATACCCTGGATGACTTAATTTATTTTTGTCCTAAAGTTGTTTTGGGACCTTACCCTTAGTGAACTTGCTAGAACATCTGCTCTGGGAGAAGAGATCTGAGAGACAAGTCTTGTATTCATTAAGATGAACCTGACCTCAGTGCATCAAAATAAATTGTCCAGCTCCAAGCAATTGTGTGTGTGTGCTGGG